TTGAAAGGATGTCATTCATTCTATTGATGTATTCTGTGTTATTCATGGTTACAGTAGTGTTGCCTTTATCACTATTTAAAATTTTAATATTAGTGTCTTTTTTTCAGATTATAGATGCATTTTATCTTGTTGCTTGTGAGATTGGTCTTAATTTTATGGGTTTGGTTGATTATGTTAATGGTCTTGTTTGAGAATACTTTGAAAAAAATTTATTAAAATACAGTTTTTGGGAACTTCAGGAAACCACCTTTTGTTATAATTACCTATCATTAAAGACTGGTGGCTGAGGTTCTATATTTCTTGTAGTTGGATGTTAAGTTAAGGTGGCCTTTTCTCTCTTATGTAATGAATCACTAATCTTCTAGGCTGGTACTTAACTCTAGTATGTCTTATGGCTGAAGGCAAAGTTGAGAGTCATTTAGTGGTCGATCTGATCTGTTGATAGAAAGATTAGGTTGTTGTTGTTGTAGTGTCTTTCATGTTGTTCATGTTTTTTGCTCCATATAGGTTTCTTCTCTTGATTTAACACTGAGTTGCTTTGGTTGATGGTCCTTTGTATATTGCTCTACTCATCTGATTCAAAATAGCAGGCAAGTTGGTCGTCTAGTTCTTGTTCACATTTTATTAAGTAGTTTAGTTCTTGATATGTGGAATTAGGGTAGCTTTTAGATGTTTTTGTTGCATGTTTTGGATAATACCTGTAAAATGGCTTAGGGTTTTCGATAACTTGACTTTTATAAAGTTTGAAATTAACCGTTAAGAGTGGCATTGTCTATGTAAACCACCTGTACCTAATGATGATATAAACTTGATGAAATGTTGTACATTTCTAATAAAGTTTTTTCACTACCCATCTCCAAACTTTATTTTCTAAAAAGTGGGTTCCTCATCATCAAATCTGAATACAACTGGTTACACAATTCTGCACCCACTAAGTCAAAGCCCAAGTTATGAATTTATTTTAAAATACTAAATTGTTCACCTCTCGTGGAAAGTAAATATTTCATACATTAACACAATAATTCTTAAATTTATATCAACACATTTTAAAATCCAGTACACAAGTCCAAATTAAAATATTTTAAATTTACATCAAACAAAGTAAGCAATGTTTAACATCAATAACACGGCTTGACAGATATTTTTATTTCCTTTATTTACTAAAATAAACAAGAAGAAACAAAACAAATTAAAAAGCTTTTCAGTAAAATTCTCTTTCTTTAAAACAAAATGGTTTCTTAAAATCAAAATGACCTTTCTAGTCCAATGACAAAGAAATGTACTTTTTATTTTGAGGTTAACAAACTTCTACTCCTTAGATAAGTACCTATATTCTACAAACATAAGTATATGCATCTGAAAGAGGTCCCTATGAATTAGATAACTTACCTATGCAGCATCAGTCCATGATCATTCACTAAACCTTGTTTAAGAAAACTGTAAATACATATATTACAATTATACAAACTTAATATCAAATTAATCTTATTTTTAAAGCTTATAAATTTATCTCAGTATCTTTCCTTAAGTTAATAAAGTTAAGCCTAGTGGATATCTACAAATATTATCTGGAAAAACAATCAAACCAAGAAAATTAAGATTAATGGTATAACTGATTCCTCTGAAATCCAAAAATCTATTTAAGATTTAGATCCACTTAAGTTCAAATGTCATGATATTGATTGTACAAATTAAAACAAAGTTTTTCTTGGTTCAGTGACTAATAATCTCGATATAAAAATCCACAAAAAGTGAGAACATCAAATACAGATGTAAATCTTATAACAATATTCTAATCAACCCAATAAACAATTATTTTGAGAGATAATTATAAGACACCCCATGCCTTTACTTGAAAATGTTATCCATGAATTTATTTTTATTTATTGGACAAAACTCATACAGTATAAATATATCACTTGTATAGCAACCATTTCACCATGACATCAAAAATCATCCCCAACTTTTTAATTGTCTATAATTTAATACATATTTCATGATTGTAGCTACGCAAAAAGAATTATAAGACTATAACCGACATTAATTCAGATTATTACAAAAATTATTATCGTAAAACCGCACTTTTATCTCAAGAAAAAAATCATTTAAGGCTTTATGCAAGTTCTAAAAATTAACATAACTACGTTATTGCTCTCCAGGCAGTACACATAAACTATAATGTCAGTCATTTACTCTTCATTTCTCGAGAAACAGGAACAGCTAAGACAAGTACAGCTGAAGGTTAATAGTTTTTTATATGTGATCCTTATATTACCAAATAAATTATATTCAACTGAAGTTTATATCATTCCACACTAACACAAGTTATTCAATTATTTTTTCCATACATATGTTCCTGTTTTAACATAAAAGAAAGAGATTTATATTATGCCACACTAACACTGTTCATTCATTTCCATATTTATTAGGTTAAGGTTTTTCCCATTGTAACTTGGGTATCAGTGCAATATGGTTACTAAAACTTCTCCACAAAGTTAGTTAGATATCAAATCTAGCCTTACTGTTTCCCTTACTCTGATATAATCACATATATCTTTTATATCTTAACACACTAAATTACTATAAGTAATTACTATAGGTAAGAGCATATTTCTTCTTTATATGATAACACAGAATTGTTATGAAGAACAATAAATGGCTAAAAACATGATGCAAAAACAATGGGAAAATGCCAGTTTTATTAATATTGTATTCAAGTCACCCAGGGATAGTTGTTTCCAGACACATAGCAACAACTATGTATAAAATGGCTACTGATACAAAACAACTGAGAGCATATCAGATAAAAGCAACAAATGTTCTTTGAAAAGAATCTCTCATTAATGAACGTAGATTTCAAACAGATTACTCCACTCCATTCGATTCAAGCTTTAAGGAATTAATGAGTTGTGGTGTGTGTTTAGAAGTGGCATGTTCACTTCGAAATATTACTGTTCATAAGATAGGGATGTTTATCGATGTTGAGGTTAAATAGCTGCTATAGAAGTATATTTATATAGCCAAGGCTTTAAACAAGTTGTAACACATTTCCTTCAAGTGTTTTCTACGAGCTATAGTGTGTGTGTATACAAGAACTACGTCCAATTCAAGTGGATTTTCTTTGTAGAATTTCACTAAATGCCAAGCCTGTGGCATTAAAGCAGAATATGAAACACACATCACAACAACAAAAATTATGTTCCTTTGGTCTGTGTTTTACAAAGATATAGATGTAATAGAGAGTTATCAAATATCCTCGTGTGTCTACTACTTTCCCTAAACTGGTGATAACACAGCAAGTTTTCAAATATTAAAGTTTTACACATTTTTATACATTCACAAAGTGTCTACGTGCTATCATAGAAAACAGCTTTAAATCAAAGTCCTTGTCATGAATAAATTTTAGTATTGAACATTTCATGAAAGATTACAGCTTACATAAGAGTTATTGAAATATCATCAGACATAAAGCAACATGAACTTTTTGAACATTTTAATACACATTATATCTTTTAATTTGATGTTTCACAGACTAGTCTCATCAAAAAAATGTTTTCATATTTTGTCTTGCAAATCTACACAGACATTTATAAATGTAAAATTTTTCAATTAAAATTGAATAATTTGTATATATAAATATATACATACATATACTAGAAGAAAAAATGACAATATATATATACCAATGCACCAAAACAATTCTAAAACTTTAATGTTTTTTTTCTTTTATCATTGACTATGATATTGTGCAGACATGGTAAAATTAACCAGTTCAATATAAGTAAAAAAAAACATGCATCTCCAGCAACATTCTTAAGAATTAAATAACACAGGAAAATTCAATTACCATTTCTAG